ACGCACCGGGGCAACCGGCTCTTAAGGGCTCCAGCTATTCACACGCAACTGTAATTCTTCGTCAAGGCCAATAGCAGGGAGCTCATGCTAGGACAAGTTCCCAGACCACACCCTAACAGACTTGTGGGAGTGGGTTCTCGGCGGGTTCGCTTGTCAGCTTAAGTTTGTCTCGACTCGACCCAATGGTGGTCTTCGGGTTTTGTCTGGACTTGAAGCTCTACGCTTCTAGTAGGTGCAAGGGCCGGAACATGAACTCAAACCACTCTGCTTAAGAACCCGTGGCTTTTGAGGACGTCCCCTTGTCTGTTTGCGGCCATACACAAAGAGTGATTGATAAGTTATAACGTTCACTTCTCCACCGAGACCGTGAGACCTCACATGCCCCTCCAAGGGCCTCGCGATGCGTTGACCGTGCGCGAGAACCTTTTCGAGGCGAGAACGGGTACTGAAGGACGTTTTTTGTTGGTCTCACCGGTGAGGCCCGACACCTGGACTATCCACATGAGACCTGGCGCCGGCACCGGCACTCCAGATCCATAGGCTAGCCTAAAAATAGCCATCTCCAGACTGACTGGTGCAATAGGGGCCAAGTGAACTTCTCTCCCCCTGGTTGCCGTGCTCCCAGTATGTGAAACGAAAGCCAGTGGAAAAAAGTGCCGAAAGCCCCTGTGCCAACCCACCTTTCTGGCATGCTTTGCTTCTGGTGGTTTTGGTATTGATCAACCTGACGAAGACGCGAAGCGCATCACCCCGAGACGCTGGAAGGCCAGAACGCCCACGAGCCAGTTCTCTCATGCAAGGCAGGAGCCAAGGGAGGGGCCGCCCTGCGGCCTGAGGTTTTGTGGCTGCGGGCTGGCTTGTTCGGAGATCCGTATCTAGTCCTCCATCCCTTGTACTCTACGAATCAAGCCTGGATGGATTTCATTCACTTTCGGGGAACCTCAAGGCGAGACCATTGTGTCGCCTTTTAAAGGCGCTGCAACTCCACGCCGGCGCGTGGGCGGACTCCAGGCGCGTGATGCGACTGGTGTAGTTCATCGCCTCTTGAGTCGTTGTTGTGCCATAGTCGTCGCTCGAGTCTCAGTCTCAGCAATGACATCATGGCGCGAAAAAGAGGTGACCCAGCATGCACGGAGACGTGTCGGCGATGATACAACACTTGCACCCGAAATGGCCGTTGTTTGTGTAGACGCTTGATGTACCGGCGGTGTGTGATGGCCATCAAGCCCCAGAGGGTCACATGGCAGGCCCCATTGCTGCATCACTTCGTGCCGGAGCCTTGAAGAAGTGCGGCCGAAGAAACACCCGTGACTTTTCTCAGAAAACCAAGAAGCTACGGCCGGAGCGATCGGACGCTACGAACGTGGCTCCTGGCCTTACTACGAACGGAGTGATCGGACGCTACTAGAAGTGGTTGTAGGTCATGGCACCATCCAGGAGACCAACAGCTTGACCTGGAAGGTTCAAGGGGAACGTGGGCTCCAGGCTTTTGACCCGAAACCTTCACCGGGTCGAAGCCGCGAGCAGTGTGAACTGGAGGTCCAGAAAGAGAAACTTCGAGAGCTGGAGAAGCGCCTCAGGTTGGGGCGTTCTTTTGTTCTTCCTCCGGGTTTTTAGTGTGAGGAATGCCTAATCTGGAGGAGCAAGGGCATCCATAGGCCATAGGCATCCAAGGATGACGGATGACCCAAAGGATGGGTCAAGGGTAAACGGGTGCAAACGGTTTTGGGATGTTTTTTACTTGTTTTCTCTCTCCGGAACTTGAAACATCACCCAGGAACTGAGTAAAACATCTGAGTTTTGTCCAACAACGCATTCCAGGTGCCCCCGCGTGGAGCCTTTGGAGGACGTCTACGATCGAGGCAGGGAGATGGTGCTGGGCAGGCCTGGGAGGGGGATTAGTTCTTTGGCTTTAATGATGATGTTCTGTATGTATATATATATATTATATATATATGTGTGTGTGTGCCACATTTTTTGGCCAGCTGCACTATTTAATATAGTTATGTCATAAGATATGTTTTCTCTTTGCATGAGGGATGAGGAGCTGAGCAAATTCCAGTGAATCCGATTTGGACGTCCGGACGCCGTGTGACGCATGGTGCCCTGCAGCCATGTGGCTCGTTGTGCTGCAGAAATTCATGGGGAAAGATCTTAACCCATTTCAGACGGACACGTTGGATTTCTTGCACATTGGGAATGTGGCAGTCTTCTTCCTGGTGATCTCAATTTGCAGGAAGATGTGCTGGCTGTTCTGACCTACATGGGTGCATGTTGCTGTTTTGATCGTCGCAAAGCACTCATTGTTCGATACTGAACGATTACAGTATGATTTGTATGACTTCGACGGATTTCCTTTATGCGACATGGGTGACCGGTGATCGCGAAAAGGCTTCCCCTTCTCCCATCCTCTCCCCCTCGTCCGCAGCTTCTTCATCCCTGCACCGGTTGCATGCTTTTTCTCGTGCTACGGGATCATTCAGCTCAACATCGAGGTGCAAGCAGGATGCTGATGAACACAAGTTCAATTTATCCGTGGGGTGGATGGTTTGGGGCTTGTTCCAAGTCAATATAGAGGCTGGTAGTGAGGCTGGTGACTTTCTTTTTGGTAGCGGCTGTGCCGTGGCACAGGCAACAGCCACCCAAGTCTAGCAAAAAAAACCAAGCAAGTGACTGGTAGGCCCCACCAATGCCGCAAACACTAACTCCTATACCTACTCCACGCGACACTCCTTGATGGCGGATGGCCTCTTGATCCATGTGGGCAGCCCGGTGGGCGGGCAACAGGGCACTGGTGCGTTTGCTGCCCTTGCTGGGTTTGGTGCAGTGCTGGGAGATCAAAATTCCCGACTTCGTGGACTGTGCCTGGACAGCTTGGGCGGAAGTGGCTGAATTGGCTAAAATGCCGCCTTGAACACGGATTCTTTATGATTCTTTATAGTTTTTTGTTCGTTTTGCGCTTCCTGCTGTGTGGGCGGCAAATATGTAGGAATCGGCACATTGGCGGAGGAGTGGGGTGGGTTTAGTTGGATTGTATCGATTGAAGGCACCAGGTTGGTGGACATGGAATGAATGGGCAATCTGAAAGATGCTTTGCGAGTCCTTCTTCTGGAGATGCCTTAACTCGCTCTCTACCCAAAGGAGCCCTGTTCTTCGTAGATTTGAAGGCGCCAAGATGCCAATGCTGCATTCGAGTGTCTATATCATAATATATCAACATATATCAACGTTGATGGACATATCCTTCCAATCTTGAAACATGTCGGAGCCGGCTCGTCCATTCAACGGAGATCCGTTGACCCGTTTTGGTTCCCAAAGATTTCCCAGAAGACCCATCCGACCTATCCGCTACAAACGGAGCAAGGATGCTACTAGTGGTTTCTGGCACTACTACTGGGAACAAGAAGCTGCTAGGAACAAAGGGCATCGCTACGAACTACGGAGAAAGAAGCTACTAGGTGGAGGCCATTTCCATTAGGGTGGAGGCCATTATGACTAGGAACAAGAAGCTACGAACGTAACAAAGAGCATCGCACCTAGGAGCAAAAAGCTACGGGCATCGCTCCTGGCATCGCTACTAGGAACCAACGGATTTCTTTGACATGTTGACCTTTTTCCCGCTGCCTACGCTGCCGTTTCAGGCACCGGCCCGACACAGAGTGACTGGCAGCCCTTGCGGTGGCTGTTTTCTCAACTGGGTCGCCCTGATCGGTTCCCAACCTTCCAGGAGGCACGTCCTGTCGGTCCGGTCCGGTGGACCCGGGTGACCTGGGTGGGGTGCGGCGTGGCGGCTTGGCCGACGCTGGTGACGGTGACACTGGTCATGGGGCACCTTCCAGGATAATGGGGTTTTGTTTTGGGTTGAGAAATTCAACTAACCGAGTCAGTTGTTGGGCCAGTCTGGCTTTGAAGTACGTAGGCTTTTGGGATCTTTTGGTGCATTCTCATCCCAGGATCACTCCTAAACTCTGGGCTGCTGAAGTATGCGAATGACCTATCACAAGCATTCACTAACAAGGTGCCGATGTGACCGATCACGCGATTCATCATTTCTCCAGCATGAGGGCCTGGATATGGGTATAGATGGGTGTGTGATGGGTATACATTCATATTGTGTATGTTGTAGATAAGATGGGCACGAGAGCAAAAGCGAAGAGAAGCTAGAGCACATGAGCTGGGCGAAGTATCATGAAACTTTACGTGAGGACCTCGAAATTGGTGCGCTGTAGGAGCAACAGTTAGAGGAACTCTAGAGATTAATTGTGGGCCATTTCGTTCGAGGGGATTGAGAGGGTGGGGATTGATTTGAACACATTTGATCAGGCTTAGGGGACGCGCGTGTGAGGAGGGGATAGCCATGTGTTTTTTTTTGGGGGGGTCATGTGGTGCAAGTCCCAACGACCGTTTTTCCAAAGGTTGCTTTCTTACAAAGGAACATCGAAATCCAAGCCGTTGAGCCAGATCCACACTCATCCCCAGTCAGGACCTGCAAAGACCTAATGTGTCTGGGAGATTTTTTTGAGTTGTAAACACCTGGAGGATCTTCTTGATGAAGCCCATCGACTGTATCAGACACATGGCAGCACTTGGGCCGAAGAGGTCTGTAGGGACAGTCTGAAAATGGCTCTCTCCTTGGAAGGCATGGGTGTTTGTGTCAATCTGGGGATCCGACCGTTTTTTATTAGAGTCACTACATCCCAGGCAAGATGCTGACACGTCAAAGGGACACAGGTTTGGCCGATCATTTCTCCCCATGTGACAAGTGCGGCACCCTTTACCCATCAGAGAAGTGGCTGTGGGTCAGAACTAGGATACGTTGGTTGACCTACCGACGAGACTTGCGCTACGAGACTTGCGCTCCGCGTCTGCGCTTCTCTCGGCCCTTCGTCATATGACGGGTACCAGAGAGTGTGGACAGTATACATCAAAACATGCACTATACAAAAGAACCAGCTAGCAATCTATCTAAGTGAAACCGCATATCCGCGCAACACAAAGGCAAAGTAGCTGGACGAGACAAAATCATGAACAGGGATTTTCATGAATGGCACCTGTTTGGGAACGGTCGGCGGGACCAATTGAGCGAGATCTGCCCCCTTATTCCAAAGATCGCGCAGTTTCTTACGAAAGTGGTAACACTGCGAGTACTCCAAATTGACCGTAGGTTCAACCTGCAACGACATTTGACAGTGATCCATTGGCACCAACCCCAGCGGGTGGTATGGCTGCTTGGTACCCAAGTTCTGTGCATAGAGTTGAAGTGTCTTTTGAACTGCCTGCGAATTACAAATCTTTGTGCACAAAGGGAATCCACCTGTGTAGGTTCTTTATTGGAGGCTGTTTTATGGAATTTCGGGTACAAAGGCGTGGCACTAAATCCTTGAAGATACTGTATGATATATCCTTGGTTGACCTACCTGGGAGGTCAAGCTACATGGTGTTGGAGCTTCAGTTTTTGACCCATCCCCATATGATTGCTGATCTTCAAGTGCTGGAGTTGGCGCCCGCTCACGCACACCCGAGCCCGCAGTTTCTCCGCAGGAAGTGGTACGTGAGCCTGCCCGTGGGGACGGAGGACTATCCCGGCGGGGCGGCCGCCTTCTATCACTCCTGCCACTTTGGGGAGCCCACAGAGTACTGCCCCTTGCGGTAAGCGCCCGCGTTGTGGAGTGGCGTGTGGCAGAAGCAGAGGGGGCTGGACGGGTGATCGCTGGAAGGGGCATTGCGGCATTGTTCTCCAGAGATGTGCACAAGAGGGATTGTGCTTAGCAATGATCCTGATATAGATAGATAGATGGATAGATAGATAGATAGATTTGTTTAATTCATTTTTTTCCTGATTCATCCTGTGCACCCCTTCACAGCTAAAGTCACGACAGGAACAACTCCACACGACTTATCTCTTGGGGTTCGCAGAATCCACTGCCCTTTTCTGCCACCCGAGGCCTCTATGGCCACTTAGCGGCGCTGACTTATTTGGCGAAACACTTGGCCGACGTGCAATACCGGGTGACCTTGGCACGCCAGGCGATGCGGCTACTGCACTGGAGCCTTGTCTTCCTTGATTTGGAACTGAAAAGATCATATTACATGGTGTCTTCCTGGGTACATAATTGGTTCGACATTGGGGGCACCAAAACCATGAACATCCTGTAGGTGATGTTTCGCAATGGTCAGGGGAACGCTCGTTGGGAGTGGTACGAAGATAGATGTACTAGCCATGACCATTGGCAAGTGTAGTGGGATGTTCAGAGAGGGGCAGTTCTTGCACATTTCCCCGGGCATCCTGCCAGAGCGTACTCAATGTTTGGCACACCAAGACACGGCATACATCGTAAGGCTACTCCCATTCCCACTATATAGGAGGTCGGTAGAACAGGTTCATATTTTGTGGTAAGCTGCTTCTACCAACCATTCTCCTCCTCCATTAGTAGCGATGGGGCCACGAAACAAATCCAATTCATCATTGGTCACTGGTACGTCTTTCTCCCTGCAGCCAGTCATGGAAGGAACCTTTGCCTGGACTTCTTAGAGTCCTCTACATGGGCGCGAGGGTGGTGGGGACGAACACCCCCACCGTGCCTTTTGGCGCTTCGGTCTGGGTGGCGGAGGGTCTCGAGAGATTTAGGGCTGTCTCTTCGGGCAGGAGCCTTCCTTGCCAGGACCAGACCCTCTCCAAGCCATGGATGGACTTTTTACCTTCCCAGAAGTTGGAGGGTTTGTCAGTCGGACAATTTGGCTCAGATTGCTTTGAGTCCATCCTTTTGAACTACAAGTGGGTTAAACCAAGACCTTCGGCCCTGGTTTAGGCTGGCACGAGTGGATTTTTTTGATGGCCCAAGCGTTTTGGCAAAAACCATGCTCCACTTGGTAGAGGAAGATTACCTACCAACTGGTTTGGGGGGTCATGTTGGCGTGCTTTCTGCCAAGAAACCCTGTGGTTGGTCCACCCAGACCAACCAGCTCCCTCACACCGGCATTGCCCAGCTCTTCCACACTTAACTCCAAGCACCCACCAACTTGGCTTGGTCTTTTGGAGACGAGTGCCCAAGAATTCTCGGACCACAACACGTGCTCACCATCTTTGTTACAACTCCCAGCTCAAGTAGCCGACGTGTTGCTTGGCCAGGCTGCCTGGGGTTTCACTATACTCAGCCTTTGGGACATTGTCGAGAACTTCGCTTATCCACAGGCCAGCGGCATACCCCTGTTTGCACAAGAGGAAGTCCCGTTGTCAGAACGCTTCACAACCTGGACCTAAAATATGCAGTCAGCAGCTTACATGAAAGACATCAAAGAATCCCTTCACTGCTCCTACTCACGACCAGTGATGACATGTCCAGCATCCCATGCAAACACCTCGGAGCTGTCGGAACCCTGGGTTTGTCGCGCATGAGGTCCTCCAAGCTTCGTCGTGTTCCTCCATGTTCCATGCTCCGAACGCTCGCGGCCAGCTCCCCACCCATCTCCCAGCTCGCTCCCCGCGCGCTGGCGCGCTCCCCATCAGACTCTGGAGACTCTGGGGGCTTTCAGCCGAGGTCTCCATTCTGCACCAGTTCCTGGAGTGGGGTCAGGTGCAGCCTCCCGACCTCGGTCACCTGGGTCGCCTTGCACCACCGCTGATGGTCCCGCCAGTCCGCGACTCTGACTCGCGAGACGAGCGGCCGGGCTTCTGGGTCTTTGAGTTGGGCTCCCACCGGGCCCTCTCCAACGAGCCCATTGTGACGTGGCAGTAGGTTGGGGGGGTAGATGGGGCTTAGGTTGGGTTAGGTTGGAGTTGGTGTGGAGTGTTCTACTGGGACGATGCCTCTTGAGGTGCCCTGGTGCTCTTGGTGTCCTCCCTTGGAATTTATGGCCGTTTTTGACTTACACCAATTTGCGGGTGAGCTGGCTCTGTGCTCTTGAGCTTGTCCATCTCTTTCTCAAGCTGTTTACATTGAATGACCATATATGACCATGCTTGGCATGCTTTGGCAATGTGGGGGGCGTTTCAAGTGTAATATGTGAACTCTGCCAGGTATATAGATTATTGCCAGGCCTATAGAAATAGAATATTGCAAGGCCAATTTTCATTGGTAACTGCTTGGCGGCTGGGCACATGTTCGATGGGTGAATCCCAGACTCCGGTTGTCACATGGAGGTCTACGCAGGTCGCCCTTTCTTAAAGACAGTTCCAACATCATCTATAAATATCCACAACATGAGCTTGTCGCTTTATCTTTTTTGGGGAGAGCTGCTGAAGCCAAAGATGTTAGCTTTGTGCCTTGTTGCATGGGCGTCGTTTCTGGCTGCTTGCACAAGGCAGCCATTGTGTTGCAGAGCTTGGTTTCATGTTTTGAGATGTAACGGGCCCTGAACACCCCGCCGTGCTTCGCCCCGCCGACCCATTTGGGAGCCTCCAGGCGATGCTGAGCGAAGCCTTACCAGGATCTTGGGGAGAGGTTTGGGGTTGCCGGATGGGATGTAGATGGCACCCCTTCCAGAAACATAGAAAGATGCAAACCATTGCAGATGTTGAGAAGATGAAGCTGATTTCATTTGGTCAAGTAAGCTTGTTATTTGGCAAAGGGCATGCCAAGGGCCAGTTGGCATGCAAAAATGAGTTCGTATGAACTCTTTTGCAAAGACAACTGGTCTTCTGAGGGTTTGTCTATGGGTTCATTCGACATGACTCTGACTGACAGGTGGTGCAAAAAGCGCAAGAACAAACACTTCGGAATACTGTTGACACTTTTGATTTCATTTTGCAGTTGAGGACACGATGTTGCACACCAGAACTTCGTGAAACCCTACGAAGGGAGGGCAGAAGCCTTCATCCATCCCTTCCCGCAGAGCTGCAGCCCCAACTGCCCTCACCAGTTTCTCGGCGGTGATGCAAATGTTCTGAACATAAATCTGCTGGGGTCGCAGAATTTCTTTGGGGTCGCTCGCCGCGTCTCGCTTTAGGCTGGTAGACGCGATCACTTGGACAGCAGGGCATAGAAAAAGAACAGCTACCCGTGCTTGAATCAGATTGCACAACTTAACACCAATGCACCATACCTTTAATTATTGCACCATCTACCGCAGATGTTTGGCACACTGACCTACGTAACCAACATCAAAGCCACACGTGAAGAAGGTTGCAGAGAAAGCACGCGATGATTTCTTTGGGCGTCCGATCCTCTATATTAACTTTGATTGAGCAGTGCATTTTATTTGGACAGCTTTCCTGTTCAGACCTTGCGAAACTGTTGTGCGACCTCCATACCAAAGGAACCCGTTTTCATTTGTTCAGGTTTCTCTCCGGGTGCCGGGCATCTCTTTGGATATGGTGTTCCTGGGTTTCACATTCGCATCCAGGCAAGAGAGTGTGCCCTATAGCTTCCCCATCTTCATGGACATGGAACAATCCAAACAGGACTTTCATGCATGGATGCTGGGCTGCTCGGTCAGAGATGTGGAAGATTGCTTTGACGCTCCGAAGCAAAGGAACATGGGAGTGAAATCTCATGTGTTCTCCGACGGGGGGGGGGGGGGGTGGGGTGTGTGGGGTGTGGCCACCATCACGCCACTGGGCTCGGAGTCGGTGAATCTCATGACCCGAGATCAGGCGTCGATGCCTTGGCGCGGAAAGCCTTTTCTTCCCAGACTTGGTAGCGGAATTCCACAAATCTGTGGTTCTCGCTGCCCAGGCAACTATTTGAACAAGCCCGAGATCAGCCGCTCGAGCATTTTCCTGTGCACGAACCCCATCTACTATTGCAACTTCTTCGTGGGACTGAACAAGACCATCTTGGGGTATTTTGGCTTGCCCTTACTCTACATGGTGCCGCACAAGGATTGGTCCAGGCGCGATGGTTGGGATAGGTCAGCGCGGGTCAGCGCGAACCGGCCGGTCTGGCGCGAGGTCGTTTCAGCGAATGTCCCGATGTTGGGCGAAGCTTGGGAGAAGCATCGCAGACAGAGACATAAAGCAGAATGGAAAACACTCCGGCTGTGGTCGCAGACAGACACTTCTCCATTGGCAGCCATCACATCTCATTGGAGTGCATGGTGGCCTAGGGGGTTGAAGATGTTTCAGGATTGTTTCGGGTAAACTTGCTTCCCCCTCACCTTCAGGTGGCTCGATGATTTCATAGAGCTTGCTGCCTTGCCCAGCAGCCTTTTCGTGTCCAATAACCCGCTTCATTCAGCGCAGGCCGGGGCGGAACACAGGGAGGTGGATGATTTCCAGAACACTTGGAGGGTTGCATGAGCTATTCTACTGCCATGTGCATCCACATCTATATATGGATCTTCACCTTCTGCGACCGAAAGTGTCCGATGCTCCTGGCAATTTGTGGCTGATCACTACGATGAGCCAAGAGCAGAAGACTTGGGACCTCACAAACAGCAAAGCTCTGGTTCTGGCATATCTTCAGTGTGTGAATCTTGTTTTAGAATTGTTTCGGATATCAGCCGATGAACCTGAGGCCGAAACCCATAAAACCCCTGCAGCGTGCAATTCCTCATTCCGCGCAGCGCTGGCACAGGTGGACTGGCAGAGCGGCGTGCGGCTGCCAGTGTTGCGTCCAGTGGCATTATACATCACCGAGCGGTTTCGCCCGGAACGGCTGCAGGAGGTCTTGGTACCTGAGCCAAGGGAGGCATGTGCGCCTCGGATGTTGAGTGGGATCAGGTGGGAGGGGGCTAGTGGGGCTGAGCTGCATGGAGTCAGAGTGGATGTGCGAAGGAAAATGTTGATGGCCAATGATGTCCTTTTGCCCAGGCGGGCTTTGTGATCTTTGTGTTGGGCAACGCAAGGACCCACAAACCAAGCACTTTGCCCGAAAAGTGTTGCCAGTGCTTGATGCGTCCCTTCTTTCAGAAGCCCAGATTGTGAAGCAAGAGGGTTGCCTTGCAACATCTTGCAACCCGAATGCCAGAGCAGTGAGTACGAAAGACGGTTGAACACCCCCACATACATCCAGGGTCGCGCTTTTTTTTTTCCTCCGGAGTTGCTAAGGGCGCCTTGGCCAACCCAGACCCAGCAACATTGCTCTAGCCGATCATTGAAAAGCATTCCAAGTGTTTCCTTTTTTTCTGTTTAAAAAGCCACGCGTTGATGGGTCTGTGTACTTTGGGCCATGCCTTCATGTGGCTCTATGTTGTTAATGATGGGCCATGCCTATTCGGGCACGTTTCGCTTAGGGCGTGCGGGTGGTAAGGGGGGGCTCTTTTCGCTCACAGGCGGCTACATATGTCGTCACCTGCGTTGATGTGGGCGGTTTCCCGCGACCCCAAGAGGGGGGGTCATATATGGCACAGACCTCAAGATGTCCTTGACGGGGAGGTTCATATAAACCACCTCCTGGGGTCTGTGCCATCTACTCTCAATCCACTATTATATATATAATATATATTACTTTGTTGATGGATGTCCAGCTAAAAGCATTGAACACCTTAAATCTTTGTAGACATTTGACTGTGAGATGAACTTATTTGTCAATGTGTATGGTCGGAGTCCCTTGCACCCTCCCTGAATTCACTGTATGAAGGACAGCGAGACCGGTGCCAGGGGTGTACCCTGAGACCCCGGGGCCGGAGACGGACCGATGTCCGGTGGACGACGAGCACGGCTGATGCGCTCCCTGGAACGAGCGAACGCTCAGGTGCTCTACTGCATGCTGCGGGCGTTCACCCCTGAGGAGGGTGGAGATGGGGCCGGCAGCGGTTGAAGAGTGAAGGTTTAGAACCGCCCAATGCGGGGTGGTAGACGGAGATAGTAACAGACCTGGTTTGGATCACAGGCGGGAGGGTGCATGGCGTCCTAAACCCGCCAGGACGGGCTCCAATCGGAACACATTCTGCTGATTCGGGTGTTTTCTTTCGCTTGATCTGATGTCCCACCCTTACACAAACAGACGATCCCTCGCAAGTTGATCCCTTGCCACGTGGGGAGCCGACGAACTTGGAGGAACATGTGAATTGGCCACAGACAGACAAACCCTCGGAAAAAAAGAACCAACAAACATGAAACGGAAAAACACAACACAAACACGTACGACATAATGACATCATGACGAATATGTTTTTCCTTCTCTACCAAGTGCCAAGTGCTGGTGACCTGGCAGGGATATCCCTTCCACTTCCTGGGGAAGGCTGACACCGACCGAAGCTACCAGACCTTCTCCACCTTCCGCTCGGTGGTCTTGAGCCTTGGTCGGGTTTCACGAAGGAGGCGGAAGGACAGGGAGAGGGTCGAAGGGGCGGAACCAGTGGGTTGGGAGTTGTGGAGCATACTCTGGCCCTTGGATGTAAATCAATGCACTCGAAAAATCCTTGTGCCTTCAGACCGACCGCCGGCCGCTGCCGTTGTTCCAGTTCAGGCTTTTGCACAATGTAAACCAATCGCACCTTCATTTGCACCCCTTTTTTGTGGGGGACTGCTTTGGTAAGTTTCACGGCGAGATGTGCTGCGCCAATCACATTCTTGGCAGATGTTCCCTTAGACCATGTATGTCGCTTATCGACAGAGATGTGTCACCGCTACTAGTAGCAAGAAGCTACTACTGTAGGAGCTCCTGGCCTCGCGACTCGAACGGAGCAAGGACCTATATATAGCTTACGTAACACAGGGCCTCGCGTTTTTTGAACGGAGCGCTCGGATGCGAGCGGAGGCCGTGAACATCCAAGCACTGGCAAACAGAAGCGACCAAAAGCGCGTCCTCAGAATCCCACAGAGGGTCCAAGGAACAGAGTGGCCGAATGGCGACAGGGATCTAGATGTACCGCGTAAGATTTTTTTGGGGGAGGCTTTTTGAACATCGGAGTCCGCAGGTGATGTAAGAAAATGCCAGGGATTTACTTGTACATATATAAGGTAAAGGTAAAGAACCATGCATTCGGGACATTTCGTAGCTCGTGGGTCCGTATTTATGCCCCTCCTCACCCGCGTTTTCAAATCCCAAGACGTGCAGCGGCCCAGCGGCCCATGAGGTATCCGCACGACTTTGCACTCATGACCTTTTACGAGCTGCTGGGATTCAGGGCTGAAACGGCAGTGGGCCCACCCGCCCTACGGAAAGAGTAAAAGGTCAGGGAGAGTAGGTTTGGCGGCATGCAAAGATCAAAGGGAAACACTGGCGGCCCCTTGAATAGGCAGAGTCTGGCAGAGTTTAGATAAAGAAGGACCGAGGAAAGCGAGCGGCTTGCACTTAACAAGTTCAGTATGAGACAATATGCGACGTCAATCCTTCGTTTGGGCACAGCAGGTGTTGGCACTGGTAGGTTTGTGATTTTCACAACTACTTTCTTTTTTCCTCACCACGTGGTCCAAACACCCAATTTGCCATTTCGTGTCGTGGTGTCCCTTGAGTGGATTGTATGGAAAGCGTTCATGGCCTGCCTTCTCTTCATGCCTCTCTTGAGGTTCTATGCCATGGGAATGCCTCTCTTCATGCCTTCGCACATGTCGAAGCTTGGGACTTTTGAGAGGTTGGCATTTTCCCAAGAAGATGCACGGGAAGCATCATGTTCCTGGAATGGGGAAATGGCATCTCATTGATCGCAACCGTCGCAACCGTCGCCTGTGCCTTTTTTTGCAATCTTTGGGGTGACGAACCTTCACAACTGGCTCTTCTGTCAGAGGTTGGGCGGTGCATTGTTGGAAGGTCTATGAATCTTTTTGTGTATCATTACTCCGGTTTTGTCCACTGCCTTTTGCCTTCTGGATGAGTCTATATCAAGATCACTTGAGGACCACATCCTAGCTCAGGAAATATTTGTTTCCTTTTAGCGCTTCAGTGGCCATGTTGGATTGGGTACCTGATGACTTGCGAAGTGCGCCGGACCCTCGGCAGACAGGGGGGGGGGCGGAATCGGCGTCCTTGCGCGGGGCTCCTTGGGGTTGGACTGCAGAACACTCAGTGTTCTCCATGATGTCAGTAGCTGTGGTCCATGATGTTTCATGACATCCCCTCACATTGCAGTTCCCATGACCATGAGAGTTACAGTGACACTGAAGTTCACCGCCTTTTCATCGCGACGTGATCCGAACGCAGAAACCACCCAACCCACCGCACGCATCCCCCATCCCCCGGAAATCGACCATTCTGCCCATTGGGCCCGTCTCAATAGAATCCACACCCGGTATCAATGGGACACAGCTTAAGAGCCTACAAAGGTCATGTCATCGTGTCATCTTCCTCATCCTTTCTTGGGCTCCTTGCCGTGGCCGGGCAAGCCGAAGGAGCGTCCGCCCTTCTCGCCCTTGAGCCTCACCAGCTCGGCAGCTCTGCACTTCTGGCGGCCGCAGATCGACTTCTTCGCGCTGCCAGCGGTGCAGCTCTTCGGCAGCTTGGCGGAGCTGCTGGTCTTGCTGCCGGAGGCCGGGGATCCGGACAATCAGAAACTTCACTTGGCCAGCCATTTGGGGCAAAGAGTTGTCTTGCCAGAACCCCCTTCAACGAAGTGTAGGAGTTCCTGCATGCTCTTGGATTGTAAGGCCCTTGCAATCCTTCTGAGGCCGATCTCATGGCCATTAGCCGAAAGATGCAGGAGAATCGGAAGGCCAGGCTTGAAAGTGCCTGGCTCCAATTTCGATGTGTTAGTTTTCACCGTGTCCGGGGCTTTCGCGTTTTGGGAGGGGGGCACCTGGCACCAGGTTTCTCGAGACCCGTTCGCACCGGGTTTGAGGTTCCGCCACTCTGCCAGCACGCACCCTCCACCGAGCTGTCAACCCTGAAGATCGACCCCACGAAGCCCACGCAGCCCATGTGCGATCTGACGAGTTTATGAGCCCATTTTCACATCGTAGGGCGCAGAACCTTCAGCCTTCAGCTTTCTGAAACGGAACCCCTTTTCAGCCACAAAACCACAGAGGATTCACGTGGGAACCCCGCCCAGTCAGAGCCCAGCCCCGAATCCTAAGGTGGAGCGGCTTTCTGGCACTCCGTGGCCAAAGCAGCCGCGAGAGATCGTCAGCCAATGTGAGAAAAAGAAGTGTCAAGACTGAGTGGTGCAAGCCCTCGTGGACTCCTCCATTGAGAGTCTTTCACGTGCTTCGCCAGGTTTGTGGAGGTCAAGGTGTATGTTGAGCACGGGACGGGGGGGGAAACCGAATGCTTTTGTGGGCGGAAACCGAATGCCACGCCCGATTCATCAGGCCCAGAACTGCCCGAAGTTTTCTCCCTCGGTGCCCGAACTCCCCCCCATGGTGGCCCTGATGTTGGGGCAAGTTTTTGTTTGAAAGTGCGCCGGGGCGGTGCTGGACACCTGCCATTGATTTGCAAGGGTTTTTATTGCCGCAGGACACCAATTTCTTGGCGCCATGCATGGACAGGGGGCACTCCCACAGCACCTCGTAAAGGATTGATCTCTAAACTTAAGCAACATGAGCACCGAGTCCAACAGTTCGAGAAACTTGCCGTTTTAGGGAACAACTCCCAGTTTGCTTCAGGTTCGTTGCATTGTTCATCCTTGGATTTCTTTGCTTACTTTTTGGTTCCTTTACTTCAGTGGCTCATGTTTTGGAGGTATCTCGACATGTGCAACATTCTAGGACAAATCCGAGGGGTGTTCTTGGAGGCGTAGGTGTAGAACCTTCAGCTGGCGGGGGCTTCCTTGAACATATCCCTTGGAAGATCTGTTAACGTTCTGTTCCTTTCTGTTCGCGTTCGCATCCTACCACCAGCACCTCCAACAGGTTCCCTCTCCAATTGTCTTAGGTTATTTAAGTCTCACCAGTGACCACCTGAGAGACGTGCCATTTCCAGTCCCAGTAGGGATCGACTAGAATCAGTTCCACTATGTTCCACTAGAGACTAGGAACAAGTGCGGCCCCATGCGTAACAAGAAGCTAGTAACGAACGGGGCATAGCCTAGCCAACCGAACGGAGCGGTCGGACGCGAACCGCACGGGGCGCTCCTGGCCTTACCTACGAAACGTAACTAAGAAGCTACTAGTTTCTTCTTGCTACTAGTAGCTTCTTGTTACTACTAGTAAGGCACTTGTTACGTTCGTAGCGATGCACTTGTTACGTTCGTAGCGTCCTTGTTACTACTCATAATGCGCTTGTTAATAGCGATGCCCCTGTGATGTTCGTGACTCGAACGGAGCGACCAGGGGGCATTGCCCGGTTCCTGGAGGAGATCGCCGTGCGCATCGATCGGGTGGGTGCGCGATTGCAGGCGAGGACGGTGGTTATCGCGGGAGGGGAGGGGGTAGGGGGTGGAGGTAGAAGGCAGGAGTGGAGGGGTGGATGTAGGTAACTATGTAGGCAACTATCAGGTCGACGTCGGCAGAAAAGGCGTACAGAATCTTACAGACCAGTTCAGAGAAATAGGTGTGGATCCTTTCAAGACAGAAAGGATATGGGACCCATTGGCAGTGATGCAAGAGAGAGCCTGTAGCTGGCAAGGTCTTGCAACCGGAAAGGCTTGGCACCTTGGCACTTGACCCCCAGCATGGTGTCACATGTGCAGCACAGGGCAGGGGCCCTTTGAAGGCAGGTTCACCCAATTTCTAGGCAGAATGAATGATGGTTGATCTAGCGAGGAAGCCTGTCGGGTCTGTCCTGTCTGGGGATCGCATTGCTGTGCAGGTGCTGGATGGCTTGCCAGCCAGTCGCAGGATGTGCGGGAGCTGGGCAAGATGGATAGGGAGATGGTTCTGCTCCCCCACAACTGAAGAGAGTCCCTGTTTAAGAATTGAATCGCAACAAACCAATTGCCTCCCCCTCATGAATATAATTACTGTATATGAAACTGTATGAATACATGTGTTTTTCCCGAAAGCACCTGCGAAGGGTTTTTCCTTAAGCACTGCTGCCTATTTCATCTTCCTTAATCTCTTTCTCTTACTTCATCTTCCCCACTCTCTCTTCCTTACTCTCTTTCTCTTACTTCATCTTCCCCACTCTCTCTTCCTGACTCTCTTTATCCTACTTCACCTTCCTTACTTCATATTCTTTACTAACTTTCTCCTACTTCACCCTCACAACATCATCATCTAATCATCACCTCATAGGTTATTAATCTCATATCATATCATATTATATCATATCAGGTTATAATATCATATCACATCACATCAATGTCATAACATATCATATCATATCATGTTTTAATATCATATCACATCACATCAATGTCAGATCATATCATCTCATATCATGTGATAAAATAATATCACATCACAACATAACATATGAAGTAGAAGTATCAGATCAACAATATCAAAGTACATCAGAAGTAGATATTGATAGGTAGGTATTGATAAGTGGGTATAGACAGGTAGGTGTAGGTAGGTAGGTGTAGATAGGTAGGTGAAGATAGGTAGGTGAAGATAGGTAGGTGTAGACATCTTCCTTAAGACACCTACCCAACTTCACCTACCCAACTTCTTCTTTATTCTTCTCTTTAGGCGGCGGGGCGGTGCGAGCAGGTCTTACGAAACGCAACCCTCTCGTGGAATCGTGGCCATCGATCGCGCGCGCGTGTGGTGAGACGCGAATCGCGTTTGTCCGTGAGCAACCCTCTGCGGAGATCGTGCGTGTCGATCGCGCGAACGTGTGGTGAAACGTACATTTTTGGTGTGCGCGGTGCGTTCCGCCATTATAATTCTGGTGACAAGGTTTTGTCGATTTTGCGTTTCCCCATTGTAATTCTGGTTTCAAGGTTTGCCCTCGAGCAACCCTCTGCGGAGATCGTGCGTGTCGAGTGCACGAACGTGTGGTGAAACGTACATTTTGTCTGAGCGCGGCTGGGCGCACCATTATAATTCTGGTCACAAGGATGTCGCCAATGTGCGGTCCGGACCGCATACTCATTGGGAAATGCGATTCCAAGGTCTGTGCCCGGTCTGTGCCCGGATCGTTCCCCCATTATAGTTCTGGTCGCAATGATGTCGTGAATGTCACCTCTGAACTTTCTACAATGCGCGCTCTGGACGTCATACTCGTTGGGAACCGCGATTTCATGGTTTGTGCTCGGATCGTTTCCCCATTGTAATTCTGGTCACAACGATGTCTCCAATGTGTGCTGTGGACTTCATACTCGTTGGGAAATGCGATTCCATGGTCTGTGCCCGGAGCGTTCCCCCATTGTAATTCTGGCTCGAAGGTGTTCCTGTGTCATCGCTCGGAGCGTAGTTACATTGTGTTTTGCAAGCTTTGGTTGCTAATCGCCTTATAGTTCTGGCTCGAAGGTGTTCCTGTGTCATCGTTTGGTGCGCAGTTACGTGGTGTTTTGCAAGCTTTGGTTGCTAATCGCCTTATAATTGCTACTGCAATGGTTTCCAACGTACTTTTTTCCAAGTTTTGCCGCTTTCATTTTTCTTATAAATCTCTTTTAAAAAACGCTTCGAAATCGCAATTTTTGGAGCTTGGACGTCGAGATCCGGTTTTGGGAGGCTATTCTCTGTGCTTGCGGTGCGCAGTTACATGGTGTTTTGCAATCTTTGGTTGCTAATCGCCTTATAGTTCTGGCTCGAAGGTGTTCCTGTGTCATCGTTCGGTGCGTAGTTACATGGTGTTTTACACGCTTTGGTTGCTATTCGCCTTATAGTTCTGGCTCGAAGGTGTTCCTGTGTCATCGTTCAGTGCGTAGTTACGTGGTGTTTTGCAATCTTTTGTTGCTAATCGCCTTATAATTGCTGCTGCAATGGTTTCCACCATGTCTGGTGTAAACCATGTCTGGTGTAAACGGTGTCTGGTGTAAACGCTGTCTGGTGTAAACTGTCTATGGTGTAAACTTTTTCTGGTGTAAACCTTTGTTGGCTTTGTCTGGTGTAAACGACGTCTGGTGTAAACCGTGTCTGGTGTATACGGTGTCTGGTGTAAACGCTGTCTGGTGTAAACTGTCTCTGCTGTAAACTCTTTCTGGTGTAAACCTTTGTCGGTTTTGTCTGGTGTAAACCTCGTCTGCGGTAAGACCTTTTTGTCTGGTGTAAACGGTGTCCGGTGTAAACGCTGTCTGGTGTAAACTGTCTCTGCTGTAAACTCTTTCTGGTGTAAACCTTTGTTGGCCTTGTCTGGTGTAAACGACGTCTGGTGTAAACCGTGTCTGGTGTATAGACGGTGTCTGGTGTAATCGATGTCTGGTGTAAACTCTTCTCTGGTGTAAACCTTTGTCGGCTTTGTCTGGTGTAAACTTTTCCATGGTTACTTCGTCTGGCGTAAACAACGTGTGGTGTAAACCGTGCCTGGCGACATGCACCATCATCATCATTATCATCATCATCATCATCATCATCACCTTCATCATCATCATCAGCATCATCATCATCCTCATCATCATCATCCTTATCATCCACATCATCATCATCATCATTATCATCATCATCGTCGTCAGCACCATCATCATCATCATCATCATTACCAGCAGCTACGTCATTGCAATCGTCATCGACCTCATCGTTAGCTCATGATCACAATAGCATATCACGGGCGTATCGTGAGATCATCATCTCATGGCACATCATATTTTCATATTTGATGTCATGTCATATTTTCTTTCACGGCGTGAGAGTTACATGTGTTTCAGGTTGTGTTGTATTTGTATACTTGGCTTGAAATAGACCCAGCTGACTCGATGTGTTATTGTAGCTGATTGGATTTTTTCCGTCGTTTGCATCGGCATGACGGTGACGGCTTTAGCATGATCAGCATCAGATTTGTTGTTACAGCTGCTTGAATTTTTTCCTTTGTTGGCATCATCATGACGGTGACAGCTTTTAACATGATCAGCATCATTGACCTTTGTGTCGTATGGCTCGAAGGCAAGTGGACTCGCTTATTCTCGATCGACGGTCGGCAGAATCCGATCCGTGTGGTCGGTAGGGTTCATGAACCAAACGTATCTTTATACATAGATCAGTGGCGTTGGCGCGAGACCGCGAGTTGTGCGAATCTCGCCAGCACAGCCAATTCAACCGTGCGATCAATGGAGCTCATGAAACAAACGTATCTTACGTAGGTACCGTCGACTTTATACATAGATCAGTTGCGTTGGCGCGAGACCGGAAGT